CACATGTTTTTTTTTGTAATAGGATATATAAATTTCTGTTAGTAAAATAACTAAAAACTAACAATTGGGAAGGCAATGGTAAGAAAATAAAAGGTTAGGAGATTTTAAATTTTTAACGGTGAGGAGATTATGTACAATTGTCTCAAAATTCAAGACAATTTTATATATTTTAATCAAAATTAAACTAATTTGAAAGCTAGTTTATTTTCGTTTAACTATATATACATGCCAAGTTATTAACATACTTTACTCATTAGATTAATTTTAAAGTTAATTTGTGTTTTGAAACTTAATTAAAGAACTAACATAAAAATTTACCAAATCAATATATAACAACTAAACTTAAAAGACCAAACTAATAACTGAATCAAATTTAAAATACTAAAAATTTTATCATCCTTGAATATTAATATTGTGTGAGGACGTGAGTATATGAAAAAGATGTGTCAATAAATAATATACGACATAGAAGTATATGCCATTTCAACGATGAGCAAATGAACTTAAAGAAGACAGCGCATATTGAATTAAAGAAGATTGTGACTTGACCGGGAAAAAAAAAAAGAAGATTGTGACTGCTTTTCACCAAAAAAGAAAAAAAGGAAAAGAAAAAAAAAAGAAAAAGAACATTGTGATTGGGAAAAAAGACAATTAAGGACCACCTAAGGATGTTAATTTCAATTAAGGATCATAAAATTTTGAAATCCCAATGAAGGACTTGGGATAAAAAAATGTAATATGTCTTAAATGCCTTTGAGATTCACTAATGTGAGGTGAGATTTACTAAGGCCACTTGAAAATTTACTAACCCGACTTAAAAAAAGTGCTAACATATATTGTGAAATTAAAACATAAAACCTCATGTGGAAATTGATTATTTAACAAAAAGTGACTTGTCCAAATTGGGATCCACTAACATGAGATGTGATTCACTAATACCACTTAAAAATTTATTAACCCAATGTGAAAAATTGCTATCGTATATTGTGAAAACAACATAATTGGAATTTCAACATGATTGAGTTTTTTTTTCTTAGGTGCATTTAAGACAAACTACATTTTTTTTATCCCAATTAAGGATCATGAGATTTCAAAATTTTATGATCCTTAATTGGAATTAATGTCCTTGGAGGTCTTTAATTGTCAATTTTCCTTGTGTTATGGTCCTTAATTGAGATTAATGTCCTTGGGAGTCTTTAATTGTCAATTTCTCTTGTGATTGTGACCGCTTGACGAGAAGGCCGACCACATGCATTCCCTAAAAACAGGATAACATTTATAAGTAAATGAACTTAAATTTAAAAATAATAGAATAAATATATTTTGAAACATAATTATAGTGCTCAGATCTATTTATATATAGAAGTTAGTCAAGAGGTTTACTTTAATCTCATAATGCAACACCTCAATCTATTTTGTTTCTTAAATTAATTAATTACACATATTAAAATGGGTTTCGACGGGTGATTCCAATGCAAATGATTAAAAGGGATATATTTTATATAAATCAACACACATCTTTTACAAATAGTTAACTTAATTAATTTCCTTAATATTTAGAAATTGGTAATTTAACTCTTAAATTTAGCATCAGAAGGAGTAATTTACTTAAAAAAAATTTCTGTATGCATGGTGACTTGTGATACTGATAGAAATTAGTTATTGATAAAATCAGCCTATGTGAAGAAGTTTGGAAATGTAAAATAAAATTATTAAAGAGGCTTCACTTTTCTAGTTTTTTTTTTGGGCAAAATCATATATTAAATTTTCAGGTCGAAAATCATATATTAAATTTTGTAATCAAGTAATTCTATCTTCCATTCTTAATAAATAATATGTTTAATCCATTCAATATATCGTATCATTGTCAATCTCAAATATTGTTTATATAAATTTAATTTTGAAAAATTTCTTTCGCTTCATAGCAATTGTTATAGATATTTTTAATAATATTTTAAAATCAATATACTACTCACTTCGTTCAAAAATATAAGACATTTTTTAAGAGTTAGATGTTCAAAAATATAAGGTATTTTTAATCTTTTGAGGTGTAATTATTGCCATTTTTCCAAAAGTGCCCCTATTAATGGTGACTTTATATTTATTGTAGGGTATTTAATAGAGGTAAATATGAAAATGATATGGTTAGTTTAAAAGTAGATAATTATTTTATTGAAGGATGAGATTCTGTTAAAAATACTTTATAGTTTTGAACGGAGAGAGTATGTATTTAGACAATAGTCTAATCTTTTGACATAACTCAATTAATATAAATTTCTTTCGTTAATATTTCTCTTAATACCTACAACTTTAAAAATAAATCAAGATCATTAATATTATAATGGTCATTAAAACTTAATAAATTTTCTAGATTAGTACAAAAAAAAAATTTCAATTCATTCTCCAAAATTTTAATTTCTTTCAGATTATCAAGACCAATATCCTCTGCTTCAATTAATTTCAATTAGATAGCAAATAAAAGAATAATCCAGAAAATAGATAAGAAAAACTGGCCTCAAGCAAACAAGCAATATAATTGAGCAATATAGATAATAGAAAAAGAAAGAAAGAAATATTAATTTTTGAATTTTGCAGTCGTAATTACTTTTCTTTCTCTTCTTAATCACGCAATCAGCTAATTAATATAAGAAATGATAACATGAGCATGCTATTAATTGTCAATTTAAATAATAAAATTAAATTTGACATTTGATTGATTAATTATGTTTACATCAGCCAATAATCATATTTTTAAATTTTTAAAAAATTTAAATTCATGGAGACCATTAGCATTTGAACTTTTTTTGGTAATAAATCAAATTTAAATTAATAAAATAAAATATTACAAAAAGAAAGAAAAAAATTGTGGTTCAATATCTAACCAGATTCAAGATGAAGATCAGATAGCTGAGAAAACATGGGCCTTGCATTTTTAGGCTTACAAATAATTGGAAAATATATTTAAACTTTTACTTTGTATATATTTTAGGTAATAGATTTCAACCTAGTTTTAAGCTTCATATGGGTAGTATTTTCATTTAACTAAAGTTGATAATTTATTTATTTGTTTGTTTTCGGTGAAAGCTAGTTTTAGGGTTAATATAATATGGATTTTTACACATGACTTTTTCTTTCTGTTTCAGATAATAGTTTTACTCTTAACTTCACACTTCTTTCACTTTTATACTTCCTCCACCCCATTTGATAATATATTTTTTAATAAAATTATCAATATCAAAGAAGTCAATTAAATATAGTTTAGAATTTTAACTTTTTTTCAAAAGGAAATATAATCTTCAAAAATTCCCTTTCATTGAATGAGAGATAGAAAGAAATATATTTTAAAAGTAAAACTACTGGGGATAACTTTAAAATAAGTTTAATTAATGAATCATTATTTTGCTCGAAACATTTTATAATATGGAACATCAAATTGCTATAAAAAATCATATTATAAAATGGGGCTATGGAGGGAGTATTTCCATAGATTGTTTTCAATTTTTGGACTTTACAGTGCTCAATAGGGTGACGAGCATCCACTTCTGATGAGATATAAGGTTATTCCAATTTAATTTGAATAATATAGATTTAAAGCTTTTTAGTTTATAATTTTATAATAAAGCTTTTTTTTTTGAGAAGGATCAGTTAGAGATTTTTTTTATACTGTATTTATCAAAATAAAAAATTATAAAAATTATAAATTTTTTAATAAATCTACTTTTACCAATCAATCTATATTTAATCTAGATGGTCCAAATTTACTATTAGAAACTTTTATAATCTTTATAAATTGATTGCCAAGATTTACTTTGAATAGTCTGAATTTAATATTAAAATATTTTATAATTTTTTATAAATAGATCACTGTCTAGATTTATTTTTGGTAGTTTAGATTTAATTAATATTAAAAAAATTTATAATTTTTATATTTTTTGGTAACTACAGTGTAAAAAAATTAAGATAATCTCCTAATTAGCACTTCTTAAAAAATAATTGTTTTTTAAAAAATTACTCCCTCTGGATCATAATACATAGTATATTTAAAAAGTTTTATTTGATCCAAAATATAAGATAGAGTTTTCATACTCCCTCTACTCCAAAATGTAAGGTATTTTTATTTTTTAATCTAATCTCATCCCCAATAAAGTAGTTACTTATCTTCAAATTAACTCTAATTTTTTATATTTATCTCTATTTAATAAGGTGTTTCACCCTAAGATAAATATAAAGTGATTTATTCAAAGGGGTTACTTTTTAAAAAAGAATAATAATTATACCTTAAAAGACTAAAAATGTCTTACATTTTTTAACATTTAACTTTTCAAAAAATGCTTATATTTTTGAATAGGGGGAGTAACTGTTTTTTAACAATATCCTTACTTCATCTATTATTCTTTTTTTTTAAAAATAGTGCATTAAAATTTTAATTATCATTATTAAGAAGCTTTATTTAACAAGAATATAATTGAAAAGATATAAAAAATTTTAAGAGATGAAAGTTTCGACTAAATTTTTTAGTATTGTGAATTACTCCTTTCGTCCCAAATTATAAGATACTCTCGAGGAAGATTTGACATCTCAAAATATAAAAGACTTTAATTATATAAAAAAAAGGGTTCACTAATGATTCTTTTCTAATATTACCCTTCTTATATATTCTTTCTCTTTAATATTCTACAAAGAGAATATTAAACGAAGGACATTTTTAAAAGTTTGTATTTTTTTTTCATAAAAGATTGTAAGTGTATTTAATGAGTTTTGTTAGCATGTGTAATCTTATTTAAAAATATTTTATAAATTGAGACATAAAGAGTAATTAAGGATGTTTTATATATTGTAGTCCAAAAAATATATATAAGTTAAAAATTTTAAAATAAATCCGAATGGATGACATCTAATAAAGTGGAGTAACACGTGATGATGAGCACAGAACATGATGGTCCCTATAAATAAGTAATAGGTGTGAGGCGTCAGGCAAACACACTCTTCATCATCTCGTTGGTCTTTCTGCTTTTGGAAAACCAGTGAGAAAGTGATGGATCAGCTTCAAGCAAGTTCTTCGATAATCCCTTTCGACTCTACAGAAACAACCTCGGAGGAGAACCCATTTACGGCACCCGATGAAAAGATCTCCGAACTCATCATCGGAATCCATGACGCCATCGGCGCCAAGTGCGACGTGGAACAACTTTTCAACGCTGTGTCCAACGTTATCAAGAGCTCTGTTAATATCAGTAACCTCGAGGTAAACAAATCGTCCTCTTCCGTACGTTCACCATTGTTCAGCATTATAAGAAACTTTGTCTCAATTTTTCTCTCCCATATTTATTGTAAGCCACATCTTAATTAGAAGAGAGAACAATGTGATGCAAATTTAAAAATTTTTCAGTTAAATATGGGAAAATCAGAAATTTACTCCCTCCAGTCTAAAATATAAACATTTTTTCTAACTAATTTTGGTTCAAAATATAAACAATCGAGTATTTATAAAGAATTGAGTTTTTCTTATTTATTATACTAATTAATTCTTGATGTGATTAATATATATTTGGAAGAGATTTAGTGGTTCGTTTTATTTATTTATAACGTAATTTACGTTTCTTTGTTCTCTTTCACACAGCGTCCCAAGAATGCTGAGCTTGTGGAAGACACATGCGATTTTATGCCACCTTTCACTACCCTCAAAGAAATTGCCTGTGAGGTCGTTCATATATTTCTTGTTTAATTTCCTCGTTCAGAGTTCATTATCTTCCCTATGTTTTCATTTTACATGTCATTGCTAATTTATTCTTTGAGTCATTTTACATGTCATTGCTAATTTATTCTTTGAGGATTTTATTGTTATTCTTCCTAATGTTACTCATCATCAATAGAAAATACTTCCTCGATCTTATTTACAAGATAGTTTTAAACGAATCATGAGTTATGATTGATTATTATTAAACCTATAAAGATTAAAAGCAAAACTCAATAAAACTATAGAGACTGATGATTGTGTTTTTTCACCTTTAAATCTTAAAGTCAAGTATCGGATTTGGTTGCAGATGACATGCAAGCATTTTAACAAATCTACAGCACACCAAACAATCGTTGCCATTCTGGAGAAACTAAGAAGCTATACATGGGACGCCAAGGCAGTGATAGCTTTGTCAGCTTTTGCATTGGACTATGGGGAAACATGGCGTCTCTCTCACATGAAACTTGCAGATAAAAACACTGTTAAGCTTCACATCTTCAAGCTGGGAGAAGAAGAAGAGTCTAATGAAGATCACATAAACCTCATCAGAACCTCAGTGGAAGATACTCTGAAACTGATTGAATATATCATCGAGTTGGAGAAGACGAGAGCTGATCTCAAAATTTGTGTCAGAAGGAACGTCCCAACTCTGCAAGCTACCCCTCGAGAACTTTACACTTACTGGGCAATCCTCGCTCTTCTTGCTTGTGCCAATCAAAAGTTTGAACTGTGAGTCTTTCAATTTTCATCTGTCATGCTGTTTATGTGTGGTTGGACTTTAGTCAAAGTGAAATGTTTTGTATTGATTAAAATTGGGTTTAATAATTAATATATAAGAAAGGAACAGTATCCATCATAAACTTGAGTTCGAAGTTAAAATATGATGTCTTCTCTAAACCTTATTAGGCCGGGGGAGCATCTTGGTTGGGGTTAAAAAGTGGTGCCCTTCTACTACTCTTGGGTCTAGTCCGCAGAACATCTTGATCCTTCCACTACTCTTGGGCCTATGAGAGCATCTTGGTTGTGGGGAGAACATAAATTTATAGTAGGCCAACAATTCTAAGAAAATACACATAAATATGATATCAAATTTTAACTCAAAGTTTTAAGACACTAAATTTATGGATTTTTTCCATTTATATACCTCTTCTTCAACTCAACTCTATTCAATGTAGGACTTTAACATCCCAGCATACTTTTGCTTATTTGTTCTCTCTTCTTATTTCCGAGGTAGTTGCTTCTCATTCCTAGCATCATCACTTAATGAAAAGTTTGATCTAAACCAAGTTTTGAGATCTCAAACATGTAATTGGGATTGCTTTGATTCAGGGACTGGGACATGAGATCGGAAGTTTTCAAAATGCTCAAGTTTGCTGTCACGCGTGTGAATGGAGATTTGACTAGGATTAGAGAAGAAATAGGTGACAAGACATTATTGTTTATAAATTTTTAAAGTTTTGAATCTATTTCTTTTTGTTTTTTTTAAACTCTGTTCATTGGATTCATTGAATATTATTATTGCAGCTTCAACAAGAGATCTGACTTGGCGATTGGAGGTGATTAACTCTCCTTCTGGAATTTTGCAGCTCTTGAAGGCTCTTATCTTCCATGAGGACACTCAAGTTCAACAACTTGAAATATTTGAGTATACTTCTGAAACACAGGTCGATATATAATGTTGAAAACATTTATATATACTCTCTTTAATCTTATTTATAAAGTAGAGAGAATTTTTTTTTGTCTTGTTTATTTTATAAATCACGTTATTAAATTTTTATCACAAGTTTTTATTTTTACCCCCACTAAATGTTAGTAAGAGTAAATATTCCGTCCATTTTCAAATATGAAGAAATTTTAACCAACTTATAAAAATTAAGAAAGTTGGTTAATCCAAATAATTTATCTAAAATTAAAATGTTTGGACTAAAATGTCCTTATGATTAATCCTTAATTTTTTCCCTAGTTTAATGATACTATCCTTTAATACAGGGTAATTAAGGAAAGATGTCATAAATACTTCTTGAACATTGTTGTATGGTGTGTAAAAAAAAAAAAACCGTATGAAAACTTTTCTTATATTTATAAATAGAAAGAATGTGTTATTAAAATATGTATATTATTAAATTTTTAGACCAATCAATTTATAACTTTTAAGATATTTTCTTGATTTTACTATAATATGCTAGAAGTGATTTATGAATAGAACCGGCGAGAAATATACATGTGACATACTTGGGTAATTTGAATATTATAGTACTTGAAATTTTGGATTGCTCTTTTTATAGGCCAAGCCGGTTGGTGCGAATGAGCTAAAGCGAAAGAATCTTTTGTTGTTCATTTCTGGCCTTTATAACATCGAGGAACATATCTCAGTTCTAACATCAATCCATGGTGAATTAAAAATAAAGAACTATCAAATTCTGTGGATTCCAATGGGAAACAAGTACGATGAAGCAGAGAAGAAGGAGTTCAATGAAAGAAGATCAAAGATGGCATGGTACGTGCTACAAGATCTGTTTGAGATAAAAGGTCGAAAGCTAATGGAAACTGAGTGGCATTACATGGGAAAGCCTATGGTGGTGGTGGTCAACACAAGAGGTGAAGTAGTCCACATGAATGCACTGTATATGATATCCACATGGAAGATGGAAGCTTTTCCATTTCGAACTGAGACAGAAGACAAGCTCTTCCAAAATTGGAAGTGGTTTTGGAAGCCTATAACCACAGCATATAAGCAGGTCACAAAATCAAAGGTGAGAGGCTAGTATTTTGTAATAGCTTGTGGGGTAACATCACATCTTAATTCAAAACCTCAAAACATTTAAATTTATGGGTTCTTATACTCTATTATTATATACATGTTAATTAAGCCCAACTTTATCTGATGCGGGACTTTTCACATCGACTAAGGTTCAATTGCACTTAAACAATTTAACATGGCTTAATTAACTATAGTTTATAATAAAGTAGAAGGATCCATAAATTTGAAAGCTTTGAGATTTTGAGTTAAAATGTAATATTCTTTCATTATTTTTTGCCTATTTATTCTTCACCACATTATTTCTAGATATTCATTCTCAATTCTTAACTTACTCCCTCTAGTCCTTAATATAAAATATGGTGTCCTCCACTCCTCATTATCCATTTGTTCTCCCACAGTTTCTAAGTAGTAATATCTTTCTTTGTACCATCATGTCCATACAAGGACTTGGATTCTCTGTCTAGGTGGAGAGAGAAGGATTTGTGAGCTCTACTTGAATTTTCTTGCATCTAGAGAGGGCTTGTGTGTGTGTTTTTTTTTAATATGGCTATCTAAACAGGTCATATTCAAGTATTGTCAAATCTAATTAGGAGTAGCTCTCCCATGTGCATTTTTCGTACACACACAAACTCAAAATTGAGACATCATGTTTAAACAATCGTAGCTGCTTCTTTACTAGGACCATCCGTCTTTTGGCATGTCCATCTATATATATATATATATATATGAAACCTTGTTATAATCATCAAAATCTGGTTTTTAATTTCATGACTTTTTCCTACTAGCTGACCAATTCTATCTTATATATCACCCAACCAGCTGATTGATGAGAAAAACAATTACATCCTCATCTATGGAGGGACAGACACTACTATTATTCAAAAGTTTGATTCACTAATAAATGGCATAAAAAAGGCTTCCATTGGTGTTAAAGATTTCAACCTGCAAAAGGCTTGTGGGAATGAAATATCAGAGTTTTGGAAGAGCATCAACATCTTGTTCTTGAGCAGAGTTCAGAGGGAGAACTATGAGCATGACAGCATTCTCAGAGACATTCGAACAGTATTGTCCTTCGAGAATCTCAAGGGATGGGCAATTCTAAGCCAAGGCAAGAAAGTTTTGGTCCTAGGTGAGGATGTTCAAAACTGATCTAAACTGATTATATATTAACACTCAACCAAAGCAACATATAAATCGACCAAAATTGATCATAATAAAGGTCTGGTTTAGTTTTCTTTTAGCAAAACTAATCGGTTTGGTTTGACTTAAGTTTTTGTCTTTTAAAACTTGATTCAAATCAAACCAAGTCTTGTTATATCTATTTTACATATGTTTATAAATTTGTCTAATTTCTTTCTCTTTCTTGCAATTATTTATCTATAAATTAGTTGTTAAAAATATGTTACAATTAGTTACATTTTCTCTTATAATCTTTTATGATAATTTATCAATTTATAATCAAGTGTTGTAAGGATAATATGTTAGTTTTGAATAGTTAAATGTGCTAAATAATTATTAAAAATATTCTTTTGTTCTCAAGAGATTTTTTTCATTGAAAATACCAATTAATAGTTAAAAACTAATAGGAATTTTTCATATATATATATATATTGATTATGAAAATATCTAAAAAAATAAAACTTGATCCAAACATAAATCAAAATGATTAAAAGAACTTTGTTGAAGTAATTATTCTGGGTTAGTTATGAAAACCCATATATAGTCACAAGTGTTAAATTCTTTTATATAAAGTATCGTTGAAAGTAGTCTAGCTACTTCAGCAAACTAGCTGAAGTTATTTTGTTAGAAACATCTTTAGCTTTATATATTTCTAATCTATCTTTTAATTTTTAGATGTCGGACTTCTTTAACTTGTTTATCTTTAATAAAAGGCGATTACAATGTGATGATTGAGGCATTACAAATATTCAAAGGGTGGAAAGTGAGTGACCAGAAACAAGAGTTTGTAGATTACTACAAAACTACGAAGGTGGAATCAGCTGGTTCTCCTTGCCATGAGATTGAGCTGAGCAATGTTAACTCAAGGATTCCGATTTCCATGGCTTGCTCCGAGCCATCTTGTCATCTTAGTATGGTGATTGACGTTGTCAAGTACAAATGCTGCCATGGACAAGCAAGTGATGTGAACCAAGCATGAAGAAGAATGGCTATACATCATAAATAAACTCATGTGTGTGATTATTAATGCACCTTAATTAGTTTGTTGTTGTGCATGTGATGCTACTTCATCACCCTGTGTGATTCTGTGTGTCTCGTATCTTCTATTGTATGATTTTATTGTGTTGCTGTTACTTGTGAGGCTTTGGATATGCATAATAATGTATCCTTCATTAATAAATGATTAATGAGTGACCTACTGCATAAGATTGTTATTCAGTAGCAATACCCAATGTATTGGCAGGCAACGTTTCATATTTAATTTCAACAATACGCATGTTAATCACTACGCTAATATCAATGTATAAAATCTATGAAATTCATGTTATTCAAATCAAAAGTTATGAATAGTATGGCTAATCAAACTTTATATTATATGTTTAGGACTAAAGTGCACATTTAGTCCTTAAACTTTACATAAAGTTTTGTTTTGGTCATTTAAATTATATAGTGTCTTTTTAGTCATTTAATCCTAATACTATTGATTACATCAACAATAAATTCCTATAGTAAACTTTTAAATATTCATAAAATATTCTCAAGTGTTGACACAGTTAGGGTTTGAAAACTGAAAAAATATTTTATTAAATTAAGGAACTAAACTAAAACCTTATATAAAGTTAGAGAGCCAAATGCAAAATTTAATATATATTTAGTGTGGTAGACCATTTGAGTCATGATAAATAATTAATTATTAAATATGGATATGTTATGTATGGGACCATACTTTCTTAATAAAATCTTGTGTGGATGGTTAATTTTTTTAAAATAAAGGAACGCAATATATATATATATATTACAAAAGAATATATTTCCTCTTGGACTACAATATTTAGTTTAAATTTTGCTTGGTTTAGGATATAAGACAATCATGGATAGATGTATATATATTTTTGAATTACACCTTTACTTTATTAAATACTCCCTTCATTAAAAAATGTAATATATTTTTAATTGAATCTCATCTCCTAATAAAGTAGTTTTCTACTTTCAAACTAACCTTATCTTTTCATATTTACCCCTATTAAATATTCCATAATAAATATAAAGTCACTATCAATAGGGACACTTTTGAAAAACAAAACAATGATTACACCTCAAAAGATTAAAAATGCCATACATTTTTTAACGGAGGGAGTAACTAATGAGAGCTTTTTGAATAAATCAAATGTTATATTTATTCCACTCAAGGGCATGATTAGAAAATATAATTTTTTTTAAAAAAATCAAGATTTGAAAAAACATTTTGTGAGAAACATGAATTAATTAACAATGACCTATATTGTAGTTGAGAGAGTAAATTTGGACCCATAACAGGCCAAGTTTGACAATGGTTTGAAAATAATTAATTAGAACAGGTAAATATCTTTGCTTCCCAAGTTGGTGTTGTAATTTTCACATGATAACCCAATATATATATGTGTGTGTATATGTATATATATATATATATAGAGAGAGAGAGAGAGAGGTTTGACCCAAGTAGCAATTAGTGTCAGAGAAAAAACAATAGAAAAGAATTTGAAGGATAATATCCCAAATGAAAGCATACCCAAATTTCGCTGCTTGTGTCAAATCAAGTCAATTGATCCATGACAAAACCTCCATATTTCAATTTACAGTCAACATGTCAACGAAAATCCACAACCACACATGTACACAAAAATTAAGCAGACTTACAGCGTGAAGCCTTCATTATTATTATAATAAAAAAAACCCCCTATGGAAAAGCTTTACTAAAGACATAGCAATGAACACTAAACTAATAATTCATGAAGACAACATTTCCTCCATTCTTTATTCAAATCTGACGAGCAACTCCATCAGCCAAAACGACGACGTACGTTTCTAACCGAATCTGATGAACACTAAACGACTCGTGCATGGCGAGGACCAGATTTTGCATGGCCATGGTGTCCATGACGACACACGTATCTCACTAACTGAATCTCCATCTCACATTGGCATCTCACACATTCTAAAGGAATCAAAACATCACTCATATTAGCCTTTAGATCCAAATGTAAACAATTCAATTCAGTTGGGAACACATTGAAATAGTGATTTTCTTAAAAGCCCCGTCGAAGCCATATTTAACGATGTTTTGTTTCCATGACTCGAACTCGTAGAGGGTTTGATAAACACTCTCACCAGAATCAGCCATTTTAATGTCGAACCCTCAGCTTATGGCAAAACCACTTGAGCTTATGGTCTTGTCCTTTTCTATCTTCTCTAACAGATCAGTGATTTTGTCCGACCAACCACCGTCAAATTTATTGGCATAAGCGTGGTGGATGCATCCGCAGATAATGACGTAATCTCTGTCATTCTGATATCAATTCACATGTCACTTTATTGGCAATTTAATATAAAGACATACTCCCTACATTCAAGTAAAAATATAAAGTATTTTTTAAAAAGATTGAATATTAAAAAACTATATAAAATATTTTTAGTATTTTAAGCTTTAATTATTATTTTTTTAAAAGTATTCCTATTAAATAATCACTTTATATTTATTTTAAAGTAAAATACCCTCACATAGGGGTAAATATAGAAAAATAATATTAGATTAAAAACAAGTAACTACTTTATTTAGGGTGAGATTTAATTAAAAATGCTTCATATTTTTTAATGAAAGGAATATAGCTTTTATTATTGTATGTATAAAGCTCTGAAGCACTATGTGTATTAGATACAATACAACATGATATAGTAAACACAATAATTTTTAAAATTTTAGGATGTGTTTGAAAATATATATATATATATATAATACATATATGGGATATTTAGCTATGATAGCTCGAGTACAGCATGTGGTGGCCTTCTACGAAACAATCTTGGCGCGTTATTACATGGATTTGCTTGCAAACTTGATGATGGGAATAGCCTCATTGCTGAGCTGTGGGCTTGTATTCATGGCTTGAAATTGACGTGGGATGCAGGTTTCAAGAAAGTAATTCCAGAAACTGACTCGACTGAGGTGGTGGACATGATCTCTAATGGCTGCAATGAGGAACATAGGGCCTATGGCTTGGTTATGGAGCTGAAGGCTATAATGCAACGTGACTGGTTTGTTCGATTGAATCGCATTAGCAGAAATCTGAATCATGCTGCTAATTACCTTGCGAAAATTGGCCTAAACTCTCCCACGGGGATCACTTTCTTTAAGCAAGCTCCTATGGAGCTCCAAGCTATTATGGCTAGGGACATTATGCACTACTGTAAGGATGCAGGCTAGTTTAGCCTTGGTTTCGTCTTTGTCATGGAAAAAAAAAAAAACATTATGCATCTCTGATATGTCTAGACTGATAAAGCATGAGTTGAAGCTTCAGAAATTTATTGATGCTATGATTTAACCATGTAAGTATCATGCTATCCTGGGGCAGGATTTTCTAGAGGACTATTATTGTTTCATTAAAATGTTTATAATATATAGACTCTGTCGACTCTAATAATTTGTATGCATAATCTAGACATATTAAGCTTTCGGAAAGCTCAAAACCGAATCAATGGGAGCTCTGTAGCTTGCGTTAATTATTTTTCTAAGTGAAGGGTCAGAATTTGTCATGAAAACAAAGCAACTTAAAGGAATGTATTAACTGTATCAGTTGGCCCAATTAGAGTTTTGTTTCTTACTTTTATTTTGTAGAGAACTCATCAAGGTTTATAATGAGCCAAGAATAAGATCAATATCAGTTTTGTAGAATTAGTTATGGATTTTTAAAGTTAAGGAACATAACCAGTTTCAGAAATAGAGCAGTTTTGGGAAACAAATAAGCTATACTATTTGGTACAAATAAGATTAAAAGTGTACTTTTATCATGTAAAGGAATTCATAAGATTTAAATATAATTTTAGATCATATTGATATGAATTTTCTAGGTTTAGTTATCATTTATTGAAGTTTGGTAAAATTTTTGGACTAGACAATTGAGCAATGACCCGATGATTGATTTGTAAATTTTAATTTATGGGCTTAAATTTTTGTTTTGTTTGAACCATACCGCTTCCAATTTGATAGTGAAAGTGTGTAAGGAGAGGTTTTGACAATTAATTTTCTAGATTATTAGAAAAAAAATATTCAATTCATTCTCCAAAAATTTTTTAATGTTTTTTAGATTCAAAAATCAAGATCAAGGTCTTCTCAATTTCAATTAGGTAGCAAATAAAAGAATGATCAGTAGATAAGACAAATGGGCCTCTAGCAAACAAGCAATACAATTGTGCAATATAGAAAAATAGAAAAAAAAGAAACATTAATTGTTTAACTTTGTAGTCGTAATTACTCTCTTTCTTTTTTCCCCCTTAATCACGCAATCAGCTAATTAATATAGGAAATGATAACTTGGGCATGCTATTATTTGTTTAGATTCACTAATAATCATCATATTTTTTAATTTTTAAAAATTTTAAAATCATGGAGACTGTTTGCATTTGAACTTTTGTTTTTGAAGAAATCAAATTTAAATTAATAAAATAAAATAAAACAATACAAAAAGAAAAGAAAAAATTATTTAATATCTAACCAGATTCAAGATGAAGAGATATATAGTGGCTGAGAAAACACATTCTTCTCTTCAGGTTTCTTCATCGAAAATTGCAATATGAAAAATATATAGAACTTCCAATAAAAATAAAAAAAGGAAAAGAACTTATATCAAGTTGCAGTAAAATGGATGAGGTATAAATAGCAGCCTTATTAGTTGCCTATAGGCTTCCACGAGCTTGTTGTCGACAATGCTTTGCACGAGCCGTGCATTTTAAGGCTTATGAATAATAGGAAAATATAGTTTCACCATTAGCTTTTTTCTCAAGCCAATAATTCTACTCTTATCTTTATATTCATTTTTTATTATTATTGATTATTTATAATTTTTTTAACGTAAGGTATTACTTTGTATTTTAGGTAATAGTCTTCAACGTAAGCTAGTTTTAGGTTTCATATGGGCACAGTTTTATACGAGACTTTCACTTTCTATTTTAGGGATAGTTTTACCCTAATTTCACACTTCTATTACTTTGTATTTTCATTTAGCTAAAGATGATAATTTATTTATTTATTTTGGAAAAAGCTAGTTTTAGGCTTATTAATATAATATGGATTTTTACAATATGACTTTTTCTTTCTGTTTTAGATAATAGTTTTACTCTTAACTTCACACTTCGGTCACTTTTATACTTCCTCCGCTCCATTTGA